AGAGAGAGAGAGAGAGAGAGAGAGAGAGAGAGAGAGAGAGAGAGAGAAAGTGAAATTAGAATGTTTCATTCAATTTGAAAATGGTTTGGGATAATTGAGCATATAGCTGAAAATAACAACGAAACTCATTAAGCGAAGCGCCAGGAAAATGTGCACCGTCAAAGATGCGAGACGAAAATTATTGAAGCCTCGTCAAAGATATAGGAAAAGAAGACGACAAAGCGAAACAGATCCACCAAGAGAAGAAAAAAAAAAGAAACGATGAACAGCAACCGTAAAGCACAAAACGATCGCAGAAAAACAAAAACAAAACCAAAACATAAAAATCATTACGACCAATTAACTTTTACATGTGGGGCAAAATGAGCATGTGAGAAAATTATGAGTGCCGTTTCCACACGTTTGATTGGCCATAAGATGAATATTAAAAACGTATTAAGGGAAAGAAGCCGAAAAAAAAATAGAATAAATAAATATGAACAAGAAGGATTTTTCCTGGCTGCTGCGTTAATAAATTTATTTAGTGTTTTCATGGAATTTTGTTGGTTGTACATGTACATGCAATCAATCGCTTTTTTAGGCTAATGAGCATGTTTAACGACAACAACAACGAGAGAGAAAGCGAAAAAAAAATGATTCGTATGAAGAAAGTAACAAATTAAATGGAAAAAAATTACGGTAGTAACAAAAACCACATAACAGTCGAACATTTTTAATTGGAGAATTTATATTAGTGTCAACTGAATCGTTTTTTGCTAAACAGAAGTTTTTTTTTTGTTCTTTCGTATGTGCAACTGTTAATTGTGCCCTTTTTTTGTTTTTTTTTTTCGTTCAATGCGAGCTGCATCGTATTAGCGTCAAATTTCCACACCAAAGAGAAAACGGAAAATTCGAGCCAGTGCATATGCGGATAGCAAAGAATGCGCACTACATGGCGCATCATCAAGCAGCTAATTGATTTATTTCTTCTTTGCATGTATTTCATTTCACTCGGTAGTTTTTTCTTCGTCTTTTGCTTCGTCTTTCCTTTCTTTTTATCTTTTCTGGATTGACAGTGAGGTCGGGAGCTGTTGAGTGCTGTATTTTCATCATTTTACATCTAAATAACCAAAAACAGCACACATTTGTTCTCAACGTTTGATATTGTAGTTCCCAATTTCTCCTTTCTCTATCTCTCTCTCTCTCTCTCTCTCTCTCACTTCTCTATTGCTCTCGTTCTTTCTCTCTCCTCTATCGCTCCCATTCTCGCTCTTATTCTTTCTCTCGTTCTCTCTTCGTTGTTCAGTGCGTCGTCTGTTCCTTTTCCTTTGGTTTCTTCATTTGAATACTTGTTCATTGTATGTTGTTTGACGTTTTCACTCGACTAACATATTCGGTAGCATTTCACATTTTTGTGGCGACAAATATTGAATTGTACATTGGTACGGATTGTCGTGTAGCGGTCGTTGTTGTTACTGTCGCGCTGTTGTTGTTTTTTTTTCTGGTTTGCCTAAATGTAATTAACACGCCTTTTTCGAGCTAATTAGCAGGACACAGGGAAAAAAATTTAAAGTGTTAAAAGCGAACATTTTCATGGCAATTATTTATCAACTGAGAATTATGAGTGTGTGGAAACGATGATGATCTGTTGCTAGTGAGCTGGTGCTGCTTTAGCATCCGCAATCCGAAAATAAGGAAATTTAAATGTCATAAATCATTGCACAATAAAAAAAAAAGAAACCAGAACAGAAGAAGCACTGCGGAGCAGAAGCCAGAAAAAACACAATGGCTATGCGATAATTTTACAGCCTATTTTTCGAAAAGGAAAAGAGATCTTTGACTCAAGAGAGAGAAGAAAAAAAACGATGATGACGACGACGACAACAGCGATTCGAGAAAAACAATTTACACAGGAATTTCCTATGAATGATGACGAACCACTCATATGTCATAATTAATACGAATATTTACAGCAAAAACCAAGAAAATCTGTTCAAATTCTATCGTTTCTGTCTCGGTCTCTGTGTGTTGGCAATGCTGCGACAGCCAAAAGAGGCGCATATTATCAATCTTGTTATTGAACATAATCATTTCCTTGCGATAGCACATCGCATCGTTAACGCTGTAACACGTTCACATTTCATTTCCATTTAATTATCCCATTCTCAACGAATCCAACCAATTAAAACGGAAAATTGATTCACAGTGAACAGATTTTCCGTTTAGAGTGCGAGATGCAACTTATCGCTGCTAAATATCTTCTTCCATTTTGGGTTTGATGTTGTTGCTGATGCTGATGCTGTTGTTCGCTGTGACAACAGTGAGTAATTGCTAAAATTTATTGCTCTTCAGTATTTTTCGGGTGTTTGGTTCAATGTTGTCACATTTCATTCATTCATTCGGTTGAGCGTGTGCGCGCACACACGTTTGCCTCGCATTGCGAACGCCATTAATTGCCGTTGCGTTTTTCTCGGTCGAGATTATCTCGATTAGCACACGAAAAATGCCGTATTTTTCACATGCCGTCCTTTTTTTCTTCTTTCTCTCGTCATTTGCCGATTTTCCTTCGAGTGAATTTCGATTGACACGGCCGAAGACCGAAACGAAGAGAGAGAGAGAGAGAGAGAGAGAGAGAGAGAGAGAGAGAGAGAGAGAAAGAGCGATTCGATATAGGCCAGGATAACAGACACTCAATCACATTACACTAATTAAGGTAATTATCTGCATTTATACATGTTTTGCTATACGATGTGTTGTTGCTGTTACTTTGTTTTGCTATTGCATCGCACATCAAATCATTTCCATATGTTTAACGCACTCATTCTCGCACTTTTCAACTGTTTGCAATATTTTATTACGCTCTTTGCACACGGAGAGACACATCAACAAAGAAAATAGATCAAAGAATGTTCTTGAGTGCCGAAATGATGAGTGCGTTGAAATGCCAAGCGAAAATTTCTCATTCCAACGGCATATATTTTATACGGTTGCATTGACCAAATTTGAGATTTTATTCGATGAAAACTACATTTTGCGAACGTGGCGGATGGATTCGTTTTCATTTTTAGCGTGAATTCATAACGTCTCTTTTTCACATTTAAACTTTCTGTCTTAATTATGAAGCATGGCTCGCTTTTTTTTCTCGATGTGAACTCGAAAGTGTGTTATGCAACCCATTTATTAATAATGAGAAGAGAAAAAAAAAAGAAGCCAGCATCAATTAGAACACTGCTCGACATTCCAAGTGAATCAAACACTGTTGCCCATTGCTTTGACCTCTCTCACTCACTCAGTATTTCACAACCAGAGCGAAAATAAATTCAAACAAAACGACAGAAAAATGAACGCAAAACGAAAAGTGATTCACTGAAAGGATTTCGTGGCGAGGCGATTGAATATTTTATGGAAATTCAATGAGCTTTTTCACAGTGAATGAGAATGAATGGGAGCAAAAATTCAGGCGAAATGAGAGAAAGGCAAACGAGTCAGTGAACAAGGGAGAGAGATGGAGAGCCCTCACTCCTTTCTCCCAAAGGGAGGCGAACAAAAAAAAGAGTGAAAGTGAGAACGAGCAAAAGTGAGAGAAAGAGAAAGATAGAGAGAGAGAGAGAGAGAGGAAGCGCGTGGGAGAGATATCAAACAGTATGCATTTTTAAAATGCCCCCGTCGAAACATCCTTCTTGCTTTATTGATGCTCTGCACTCATTTCAATTGTGATTTTTCTGTTCGCTTACCATCAGCAGCAGCAACAAAAACACAAAACTGTGTCCATTTTCGTCGAATATTTCATTCTGTACATTTCCTTTTTGCACTGAATAGCCATTGAAAATGCATATATTAATCGTGATGTAATTGAATTTACGTTGGAATGATGGAACGACGGCCAACACAATCGGCTATGTATATCGATTGAAATAAAATGCTTGTTCCCGCGTTCGTGATGTGTTCATTTCATTTCAATCCATTTCATTTTGCTGTGCGGCACGCGATTATTATTTGATTAGCACGATGATTAATTCATTGTTTCAACCTCTCAACTAAATAACTGATTTCACGTGTCAATATTGTATGTTTACATAACAAGGCACCGACTTTGCTGTAATGTAAACAAAATGACGGTATACACCTGGGGAAAGTACAGAAAAATACACAAAGTTCAGCACGGAATTTTGAACTGAAGATAACCAATGCCATGGAATTGAAAATTGGCTCAAGTCATGGGTTGCATCATTTTCAACCTCCTTCTGTACTGCGATGTTATCAATAACACCTGTTTTAAATGCTTCAAGCGAAATTTACTCGTGTACGCGCTGCCGATTTCAATCCAATTTCTTGAAATCGATACCAAACCGATTTAATCGAATCGACGAAAGTCTATTTCATCGAATGAGCAGCTTTCAGCTATCGGCGGCGAACAAACTTTAGCGCAGAAATGAGTCAGCAACGGTCTGTCTCAAGTAGCTATACATACCCAATGGCAATGAAAATAGATAAAGATATCACATGCTCTGTAAAAAGAAAATAGAATACGAGCAGCGGATACAATCACGATCAAATTTCACATCACTTAAACATCAGCAGTACGAGTGCCAATGTAAATGGATATATCGCAGTGACCAGTGACAGTGGCAATTGGGAATGGAAATTCCAGTGAAACAATATTTGTATAATATACAATTTGTATTAGCATTCACATACATCGTTAAAATATGTTTTTGTTTTAAAAATTTAGCGGAAATCAAACCTTGATAACATAATTCGAACAGACTGAAAAGCCAACAGCTTATGCAATAGCGTTAGCGCTATATCTGAAAGAAAATCGACGAAAATTCCATTAGTTTTATACAAACCGTTCAAAAGAAAATGTTTACCTTTAAAATATAACCCTTTTAAATGAACCTAAGCGGATAAAGATAAATGAAAGCGAAGCAAACCCATCAACAATTTCAATATTTTAATCCTTTATTTACCAGTTTAGTTGAAATTTATACAATTTGTTTGTTTATTTTTTTGATTTTCTGTTATTTCACATAACTGTTCTCCTAGCTAACTTAACAATGAATGTATCATATCTCATATGTGTTGTCTTTAGGGTTTATTTTCATATTTTATTCTGTCTGTTCTTTTCCTCTCGTATCTAAATATTTGCTATGTTATAATGATTTTGCATGTTCCCTTGATTATCTACACAGGATTAGTTTTAACAGGAATGTATTTGAGTTTATGTTCTTTTCTCGTTCTTTTTTCTTCTCTTTCAATGAAGATAAATTATAATCAAGTGGTCATTTGTCTTGAATTGTTTGACGAAGCGAAAAATTGATTAAGTGATGTATCGTTAGGAATTTTGGGCGCGTCATGCACTAAATTTGCTCCACTACAAAAACCGCATACACATATTACGCGATTATTTCGTTCGATGGATGCGTGGCTATTGCTTCGGTCGATGGATGTGTGGCTGTTTAATCATGGTTATTGCGCGTATTATCATTGAAATGATGAATGATTTGATGCCAATTTTGGCCCAAACAATAAAAAAGCACTTTGGGTTATTTAACCAAAAAAAAAAGACGCTTTTTGAAATATTCAACTAAAAGAAGCAGACGCTTGGAATATATATATATATATATGTGTGTGTGGGTACGTTTTTCGACGGGGCAGCCGCCGGTTGATATGTTTATGGTCTGGAACAATGGTTATTATAATAATAAATATGAACTTGAGTTGGGTGATTTCATTTTCAAAACAAACCGTTCACTCTATACGCTTAAGAACGCCTTCCATATCTTATCTCATCTCGCATCGTTCACTCTCACTCTTTTACAATAATGCATGAACGAAACATATAAACGAATGATAGGGACGGAAATAGTAAAACTAGAATTGTTTTACACAATCACAATTTATTGCTTATACTTTAATAATCATTTTCATTTTTTTCTCTTCTACTTCTTTTTTCTGCTGGGTTTTTGTGTGTGAACAAAATCTTTTATATGCATATTTTGTAACTTCGTTCGTTAAATCTTTAACATAACACTAAATTGTGATGTGGGTCTGCACCGACCGCGCATTGGAGTGATTGAAGCATAAATGACATTTTTAATTTCAATATATGAAAAGGATATTTTGGCGAATCGAATTCAACTTTAGCCTCAACTCAAATCTTTTCATTCTGCCACTTTTTTTTGTTTTGCTTAATCATCGAATGAATAGAAAAATAAATACAATTTTTTTCTTCAGATGCTTATTTAACGATAATAATACTCTTCACAAATACTTAACGCACGAAGCGAAAAAAAAACAATTTTTCTGTTGTAACGAAGATAAAGTGCGATAAATGGTCTTTCTTTGCCATATATGGAATACTTTTTGTTATGTTTTTTTTATCATTTTTTTCTTCTTGGGAATCCGACCTAAGGTGCGATACGAAATATGTCCAAAATGGAATGAATGTGCGTTCTAGAAATCGATTTTGACTAAATATCTGAATATGTATATATATATATAATATTTTGGATTCGAAAAAAAAAACGAAGATGAGACACAAAAAACACGGTCAAATATCTAACTCTTTTTTTGTTGCCGTCGGCATTGATCACAGTAGATTTGCATTCGAAATTTTTGTGCATCGAAACAGTTCTTCAATTTTTGTTTTGTTTTTTTTTTTTTTGATTGGTTAATTTTTGATTTGTTGTTTGCATATTGGAATGCAGCCGAGTTAGGTGACGAGTTTTTGTTGTTGTTTGAAATTGTTGTTTTAGTAAGTGAACACTTGGGCACTAGAGCTAATTTGTTGAGTATATATTTTATCAATGATGGATTGTTGTTGTCAAAGTGTTACAACAATAAAAATGGTTCAGGCTCCTGATGGGTTGAAGAGGCATATGGAGCTCGGTTTTTTTTCTTCTTCTTCTTCTTCTTTCTTTTGGTGTGTAGCCGAAACACAAGACTGTCGATTTACATAACAATACAGCATCGCCTTGATCGTGTACTATCGCTGACTACATCACTGGTGACACCACTGAATTTCACCACGGTGGGCGCCGTATCATCGTGCATTAAATCATTCGTTGATGTGGACAAAAATGACATTTCCATTGATGGACCCAAACTATTACGTGCCAAACTGTTGCCCGTGTTGCACATGCTGTTCGTTGCCGTTGTTATGCTAGGCGTTGCAATTAATGAACCATTCTCGGAAACGGCGCTGTTGCGTGACTGTGCTCGTTGCTTTTTCAAATTGGCCAATGTGGTTCCTGCGTGCGATTGATCTACATTATGAGTGTCTATAGTTTGAAGGGTTTTTTTTGGTTTTGGTTTTTGCATCGAACACATAACGAACCCAGGAGGGAGTGAATCCCACATATTTACATACACACACACGCATTATGATTTTCGACCCATTGACATGATGTGCACACGTGCATGCATTTACAGTTTTGTATGGATACACAACAATTTCAAGTGGTGATTGGTTTTTGGTTGGTGATTATAGGTAAGTGTGTGTGTGTGTTTGTGTGTGTGATAAATGTTTTTTGTTTTACATGAAAGAAAAAAAGAGACAGCAATTACACGATAAGAATTTAAAATGGTAAAAACAAATATATAGGTACCAATTGGTTATCTTAAGTTACAAAATTTAGTTTATGCTTAAAGAGCAACTGCATGAAATCAACGGATTGCAATCGATTTGGTTGTAAATGTTTGCAAATAAAAGATTTCGCAGCGCTCGTTCTCAAATTATTCTATCGTCGGTGCTATACCGCGAATTGGCATTGTCGGCCAAAGTCACCAAAAGGCGAGTTTTTTTTTAACTTCAAAAATGTCAAGAATAGAAATAAACACAAAAACATACAAAATAATATTAACAATCGTTGAATTAATTCAAACTAAGAATGGGAAAAAGTGTCGAAAATTAGAATTGGTGATAACAAATAGCATCAGCATAGAAACGGAATGGATTTTCTGTGTAATAATCAGATTGAAGTAAACCGGAAAATTAGATGCAAATGTTGCGATGGGGGAAAATGGAAAATGTTGCTCAAAAATGGAAATATGTGTCAAAAACTCTCTTTCTCTCAATCCCATTGGTGGCATTTTGTGAGCTGTGTGTGCAATTAAGAATAACCAAAAAGTGACATAAAAAACTGAAACAAAACAAAACAACGTAACAAAATAAGGGAAATCATAACCGAACGCAAAAACAAACAAACAAACAAAAAAACAGAAAATAAGAAGAAGAACCAAGACGTCAACTCAAGCGAGAAGAACGGAAAACGGAAAACGAAACTGAAATGATAAGAGAGAAAACTCACCAACAAGTACGGTGACTTGAACATTAATTTTGCCATTATCATTAGAAGCAGAAAAAATCTCGGTAGAAATATCGTTACCAATTCTTTGGTGTTGGTCAATCAGTTTGTTGTTCGGGTCATGATATTTGGATTGTGCATCTTTAGCCGATGGCTTATTATCTTCCAGTCGAAATGAATCATTATCTTTTCCTTCGGGTGATTTTCGCATCGGCACACCGCTACCATTTTCATAGGATGATGGTGGTGATGATGATGCTGTTGTCGTTGTTGTCGTCAATCCGGCCATCGGTGTATTGGTGCTATAGGCAACATTGCTGTCATAATGGGAATTATTCGTTTTTGCTGCGGATCTCTGTGAGCTTAACGATGACGTTGAATTGTGCACTGTTTTACGTTGTTTGGGAAGAGAGAAATCGACAGAGAAAACGAAAATTTGTAATAGGAATCAAGATGTCAAAATTTAACATGGTTTCGATTCATGTCAATCCACCCGCAAAGCCAACAATTTTTTTTTACGGGTGTCACAATATGTCAGGCTGATAATTTAATGCCAAAAATGAAAGGAATGAAAGAAAAAATTACCTGTATTGTACGAAGCATTGCTGATTAACGCCGTTTTATTATTTCGGTTTAAATTATTATTATTATTATTGTAGCTGTTATTTATGTTACTACTGGTGCTATTGTTATTGCTGTTGTTCCATCAAGCGGAATAATGGGCGAATTAGACAAAGAGATGAGAACCGAAAAGAAGCAGAAATACCGAAACGAAAACATAAAAAGAAAATGAACAAACAAAAAAGTTAAGAATTTGTTGATGAAAATTCAGAGTGAAATGTTTTTTTGGGGCAGCGACTTTATTTACTTGTTATGACTGTGATGCTTGGTGCTGGTTGACAGACGATTGCCCGAATTGACGGAATCCGGTTGATCAACTGCCGAGGAAATGGAATTTGGTTCAGTACTGGATACATTGTCTGCTGGTGCCGTATAGCCCTTGGAATAAAATAAAAAAATAAAACATTTTTCAATTTGCGCACTTGAAATTTGCTCGAATTTTTTTCTTTCGAAATCTTGAAAACAATAAAACACACTAATTAATATCAAATCAATAAAGTGAGCGGCATGCGCGCGCGTGTGCGCATGTACGGATGCGAAAGTAAGTTGAAAATCAAGTGATTTGCCAATAGCCAGACATGATCACGTGTCAAAAATGTACTCATTTCGTTTAAGTTAAATGCGTTCAACGACACGCTTGGTCGGTCTTCTCCTTCATTTTCATTTCGAAAACACTCGATTATCGTTTTCCGCTACCGTTAAGAAAACGCATTTTTTTTCGCTATTTTTTTTTTCTCTCTGTGTATACTTTTCTTATGTGTTTTGTTTTGGTGTATTTTGATGCTATTTACCTTGTAGGTCAAACCAATGATATCCGAATCGCCATCATTATAGCGATTTAAGTCGAAAAACCACCGCATTATTGCTGCTGTGTGTTTTTTTTCCAGTCGTTTGTTCGTTTAATTTGAAATGCCACCCAATTATAACACACGAAATTAATCTATTTGTTCGTTTAGAATTATGTGCGTGTGTATTTAGAGCTGTTACCGAAACAAATAAAAAAAAAACAATAATTCGCTTTGACTCGATTTAGTATCTTTCGACCGTGGTATATGTGTCATACATACATATTAGTCTTTGTTCACAAATAATCGATTTGAACTAAAAATTACAGAGAGAAAAAAACAAAACTAATAAAAATCACTTGCAAACACACTTAACAAACGTCCGAAAATACTCAATACATAATTGAATTGTTTGGTTAATTGAGCGAATTGCTGACTGTTGAATTCCGGAAAAACTCATTACCTCCTTTGAAAATCAAGACACTCACAATACGCAATGCCACACACACACACACACACTCACACAAAAAATTGCAAATCGGCAGCTTTTCCACGCACATACAAAACCGTCCAATTGATGGGTGCACATACAAAACCGTCCAATGCAGCAAGCATTTAATTGCAGTGCATTTAATAGGGCTGAAGAAACGGTTTGGTGGGTTTTTAACTAAATTCGAATTTGTTATTGCTCATAATTGGCTGTGTGTGTGTCTGTTGATACAAACTTTTTTTTTTGTTCGTTTTGTACGAAATTCATTTACATGATAAGCCACTCTGGCTACCGGAAGCTTTTAACATTGATCGTTTTTTAAACGCCAATCAAAAAATTTGCAATTGCGCATGCACACCGAACTTAATCACTTTGACGGCTAAAAGTTTTTGTTGTTGTTTTGCTTGCAATTTTCTTCACTAAAAGATTTGTTTGTTGAATCACAGCAAAAGCAATTTGCGTTCACCGCCCGTTTAGTTATTTCGATGGCATCAAAACCGCAGCAGCAGCAGCAGCAGCAACAGTGGCGTTGATTTCTTTTTTCGAAAGTTTGACTGCCGCATTTATCACTTAACAAGTGCGTACAACGTTTATGATGCGATTAACAGCAATTGTTCTGTACGCGCGTGTTTCACTCATATTTCATTCTCTGCTCAGCGGGGAGGCGTGCGCGCACTCTCTCGCTACGCACATTATCCAATTAAATTCAATTCACACATGCACATATGCACAATTTGGCAGTGAGTGCAGCAGGCGCTTTTGCCGCAAACTTTAATAACCATTAAAAACTTTTTGATGCTAGCAAATGGCTTGTCTAACACATTTTCACTATGTTTTGGGTGTTTTTTTGTTGTTGTTCAAATCAAAAAGTTTGTCGTGCTAGTGCATTGAGATGTGCAAAACCGAAATTACGAGCGATTCGACTGAGATTTTCCAAGTTTCCTCTTATACACTCTCAAAACTATATTAAAAAGGGGTTAAAAATTAGTTTTTTCCCCTGTCTCCCGCTTTGAGTCGACGGAAGACGAACGATGAAAACGTTTAGTTTTTACTTTGTATGTTGAAAAAGGCACGACGGAATTCCACTTGAAACGAGCTGTTGGTTCTTGCCGATGTCGTCGTCGTCGTAGCCAACATTAAAAAACTTTTATCTAAAGTTTTCGTTTTTCATATTTTCTCTCTATCTTTATTTGATGATGGCACACTGTGTTTGTTTCAAAATGACCAAATAAATTCCACTTGGCGTAACTTAAATGGACAACAAATTGACGACGGTCTTTTTTTTTCTATCCTCACACAGACAGACAGACACACACATAAAATAATAATTGAACGAAAAACCCTGTAAATTTATCAACAAAACCAAACAACACTGAGGTTTTTCTTCAGCGATGTTCGTTTTTCTTCTTATTTCTTCACTTGTGAGGTGCACACGTAAGACTTGGTCTAGAAGAGCGGTCTTTCTAGCTTGCAAACTAAAAATAGACTAATTAACGATCTATAATTTTTCATGAAAAAAAATAAACAACAAATTCGTTTTGTGATGAACGAACCAAACGAATAAACCAACGAATGAAAAACACGAAAATAAAAACCACTACGTCTGGTTATTTCCATTGCAATGCATTTTGCGAAAGCCCTTGCATACACCACATTCACTCCAGTGTGTAGTGCGTTGTTTGTGTATGTGGTTTTTTCTACTCTTTTCTGTTTCTAATATGATTGGATCGAGCAAACGAAACGTATCAAACAAAACACGCAACAAAAGAGCAACAATTAGTAAAATCTGCTACTGAAACAACGCCATCGACAAGTCGAATTTGAGTTTGAGTCGTTTTCGCATATGGTGTACTCTTCTATATGCGAGCAATAGCGGTAAACAAGAGTAGTACCTCCACCGTCGCCATCGCCGCCACCATCACCACCGCCTTTAGTGTGTATGGCTCCGTTTCACCGCACCACCACCGCCCAAAGTCAAACGCAACCGCCCGCAAAATTTTCGGTTATTCGCTTCTATTCCGCGGTTTTACGCGTATTATTTCCTTGAGGCTCGAACAACGAACGAGTTGCTTTCAATGTTTTGCGCTTGAAATACGCACAAGAAAGCCGAAAAGAAAGAAAAAGGCAAACCATAATGCGCGCGCGCGTGTTTGTATTTTATGGCAATCATCATTTTCAATGTCTACAATGCTGCTCTCTTCGACGATCGAAGTGCTGACGCTGGTTTACTGCTTGGATTTTATTGCAATACTGCTGTTTGCATTGGAAAAATCGGTTGTGCGTTCGCAGTCACTTGGTTTGAATTGGTTTTTATTGGAAAATGTGAAAACCATCGAAAAGCATGTTGCATTTCATGTTCTCAATTGCGTACATAATATTTAGACATTTGGCAAATAAAAATCATCATCAAATTTAAATTTTTTTTGCACTTTTTTTATCGATGATATATTCAGATGAAAGTAGACGTAGAATGAGCATTAACTTACCTCTTGGGCTCTGAGTCGTAGCCGTGTTTCTTCTACTGCATCCTTCTTCGTCGTTAGTGTTTTGTCTCGCAACGATGTTCGACGCACCGATTGCGCTCTGTACCATAGCAATGTGGTGGCATTGAAAACGAACCGACAGAATAGGAAGAAAATGTAATAAAATGATGAAAATCAGTTTTGTCGCTTTGGTTTTATGATCAATTTAATTGACATTTTTATTCAAATCGAGAGATACATTTAATTAATTCCATTATTCTATTAGACGAATGAGATTATGTTTTTAATCTCGATTATGTGTATAATAAATGGCACATACCTTGTGTTGTTGCTTTGCGATCGACGAACTCGTCGTCGTTGTGCTTCTGCCAAACGTTTACTTTCCTGTTCTGACTTCAATTGTTCGATACGCTCCCGAATTTCAGCATCTTCACAAATATCTACTCCGGGAAAACCCAGAATGACGGCACGCAAAGGGGGAATTTGAGAGAGAGAGAAAGAGAGAAAGAGAGAGATATAGTTTACAGTTTAATGAGCACTTTTCATCGATGGATGGTTAGAACCGTCATTAGTAAATCGTATTAGATGCCAAGTTATCAATGTTACAATTAAAATTGTCGCAATGAAATGTACGGAATGTTCAAAATAGAGATAAATAAAGAGAGACAGTGTGGTGCATTTACCGGAAGGCGTTTCATCGTTTTTATTCTTTGCATTTAGATCGGCGCCACTCATCGCAAGCATTTCGAGAATTTCCATCTAAAACGAGGGAGGTACACAAAGAAAAAGAATCAAAGACACTTTTCTCGTTCATCCTATTAAAATTACACTTTTTTTAAAATGAGATTCTTTCCATTCAATTCGGTGTTCATTTGGAATGCAACACAAATCGTGTTTCGGTTTTCAAACGTCACTAATTGGTTGAACCGAAAAAAAGGAAGAAAAAAAAACACGTGAAAACAGAAGAGATACATACGTGACCCCAACAGGCAGCTGCATGCGCCGGTGTCCATAGATCTTTGTCAACAGCATCGCTTGCCGCATGGTTTTCTAATAGGAATTCAACGACTTTAGAATATCCGTTTGCGGATGCGACATGTAACTGTGTAAAAATGGTTAAAATTCCGTTAGAATTCAAGCAGAAATGGTTGAGTGTAAAAATGAGTGTACAGTGTGTCGACTTGAACACGGATTCAACAAATTTGTCCAATTATCGTGTTTTAGCCGAAACTTCAAGCTCATTGTTACATGAGAGTTTCTTTATCGGTGTGTAGAGCAAAAAAGAAAATCGAAGAAAACCATAACTCACAGGTGTTGCACCCTGTTTGTCAAGACAATCAATGTCGCCACCATTGTCCACAATGACCTGTAAATCGTTAAGCATTTGATTTTCGGTGGATGCTCGTGTCTCATCAATCAGTTCTTGTGTGATGCCGCGCCTCGACATTTCCGCCTCAATACAGTCCAGCGTTTCTTCGTCATCGCACAAATCGTATGGCATATTCCCATCAACGTTGACGGCCAACAAATTGGCGCCACGACTAATCAACAATTTAACGAGATATAAATGACCGCATGTTGCGGCTGCATGTAACGGTGTCCATTTCTCGCTATCCTGTGCATTCACATTTGCACCATAGTCCAGCAACAGTCGCAGCATATCGGCATTGTTATCAATGCAACATTGGTGTAACGGTGTCAAACCATCACAATTGGTGACATCAGCCGATACTCCTTGCTCCAGAAATCGGCCCACTTCTTCGATATCATTGCGAGCGGCCGCCTCTAATACCACCACACTATTTTCAAATGAAATGTGTCGACGCTTTTTTATATTTACATTATTGCCACTACGATCGCGACGTGCCTGCTGTTTGAGCCATTCTTTTTCCCGTTGTTTCGCCACTTTGAGCTGATGTGCGCGGCGTCTAAAATTGAAACAGAAAAAAAAAACGAAATCAAAATTAAAAACTCGAAAATCAGGTCGGAATGGTAATAAAATGCAAATAAAAAATGCTGCTTAGTAATTACATTCGAGCCAGGTGCAAGCGATCCTGTGTTGATAGATGCTCCACCTGTGCCATCTCGGCCACCAAATCCGAGTGATCCATTTTCATGTAATGTTTCGCCGTGATGACTGCTTTTGTGTTTACCCTTTTCTTAAATGAATGGAATATACCCCGTCCCGGTTTTTGTTTGTTTGTTTGATTGTTAGTTTAGTTTTTGATTAAGTTTTTGATTTTCTTTTCAGTTTGTTTCTTTGTTTTAAAGCGATGGATTCCAGTCTTGAAGTTGTCTACGTTGTTTTTCTGCCAAATTGATAGTGGTGCATTTTAATTGAGGTGACGCACTTTACCATTTGACTCCATTGCAACCGCATCTATAAGAATGAAAGAAGAAAAACACAGTCAAATCGATTAAATTATTATCCTAATTAGATTGTGGAAAGAAAGATGGAGAGAAAAATGATTGAAGTTTGTTACGAAAATGGGTGAGAAAATTATTATTTCCATGCAAAAGCGAATTTTGGTACAGAAAAGTTTTCCAATGTTGTTGCTGCTGCAAGAAAACTTTCATTCTGTCTTATAATTCAAGAAGATGAGAGAATAATTGGATATATGCAAAATAGCAAATCGTGATAGACAGTGTCTATCAAATGAGAATGTTCAAGTCTTCTGATAGACAGACTCTCTTTTCAGTCACTGTGTTTTCGAAGCGGTGTGTGTGTGTGTGCTTTTGGCGTGCATAAAACTTTGTGGTGCATGGATTTAGTGTTGCGCTGTTGTTAGCTGACAACCATGAATAGCGTAGCATCTTAGTCTTGAAAAGTTGGAAAATCGTAAACTTTGAATACAAGTTAAACCCGTTTGTGTCATCGGCGGAGGAATGAGGGTCACTAGAGTAAAACGATTTTTACTTCAATTGGCACTATTGTTTTGTTTTGGACTGACGGACGGGATAGCTCGATATCGACGTGCTTTTCTTTTCGTTCTGTTTTTTTTTCACTTTTTCTCTGCTTTTAACGTGAGTCAAGATAATCGATTTCCAAAACGTCGTGTCGAATATGTTGTTGTTCGACTCTTTACCGCTCGCGCTTATCTTCACTGTGTGTGTGTGTGCAATGTGCATGTACTTTTTCCAAATTTCCCTTGTACAATGTATTCCGAGTGGTTATTTTCCGAGTGGATTTGTTTTCTTTCTTTTTCTTAACTGCTTCTTCATCATTTTGCACACACACACACACACACACCAAATCATAAAGTATTGTACAAACAGCAGAAGAATGAACAGAAACGAAAAAAAAAACATGAAAAAAAAACAATGGAATGATTGAAACGCACCAACAATTTTAACTTGATCGGCTATTCTTTCACGTGATTGAAGAGATTGCTGCATCGTGTAATGTACTGACGAGCGCGCGGCCTCAACCACAAGCCCCACGCGCAATAATACATTGTACGCGTTGTAACAAATCTCTGTGTGTACGCTTTTTTTTTCTTTCTTTTTGAGAAAAAAAAAGACGAAATGATGAAAGAGAAAAAAATGAGAAGTATTCAATTTATGTTAAAAGGTAAGTGCGTCTGAAAAGTAAAAACTAATAACGAATTGTGTATGTGTATGAATTTCATTTCGTTTCGTTTTATTTTTATCGTGCGCGCACCCGCGAAATATATCGTCTTCTCCTTTTCATACCTCAATGAATTGAATTATATATATACTTTTTTTTATTGGTTTTCTTAGCCACTTTCTCAATTGTTATATTCTGATTGGATTTTTCATCACATTTTCAAATCGAAAGCGGTTTTCGTTATTCGGTCGATTTGATTGTAACTTTCCTTCGCAATGTTGTTACGAGCAGAGCAACAAAAAAAAAAATAACAACAATGAACCGAATAACTTTCCGATGGAAGTAAACATTTATTCCCACTTCAGCCAATCGATAATTATCGCCAATCTTTTCCTCAACAATTTTGTCGGTCATCGAGAAGGAAAACTGCTTTTTTTTTTCTTCAACGCAAAAAATTAAGTTGAATGAACAATTTGCAGCGAAAATTGAAAGAAAAATGATAAAATTGGCGAAAAAAAAATGGGAGGAAATTTGCTAGAGAAGAAAAAACCAGAAGTTTGATGAACATGAAGAGAAAGATGAAAAAGAACAGAAGGGAAAATTTTTCGTTTCGCCAATGTGGCCATTTGTCTAATGGAAAGCATGAGGTCGGTGCGAGCAATTAGAGACAAATTGTCCAATTCAATTTGTGTTGTAGAAAAGTTTTCTCTCCCTCTGTCTAATCAAATCTAATTTTAAATTCAAAGTGCTCGCATATTTGCCTTCAACACGGCGAATGAAGAAAGAACACCGAAACACCTTCTCGGTGACCGATTGCGGTTATAAGCTCGGTGATGAAAGTTAGAATTTTGGTGTGTGTGAGAGAGTTTTGTCATTGTTTGCAGTGCAAAGTAGCATTCGTTCGCTCATTTGGTCAGCCGGTGGATGAATGACAAGAGAGAAAGGAAAATACGAGCAAAAATTGAGAAATTTTTTCATTTCGCTTCGCACACAATACACATACACTCACACACAATGAGTGAGTGCCGAAAGGTAAGAAAAACGCAATATTAATTATTCATTACGCATGTAAACGGGTGTACAATTCAAATGACGTGTGGCTATATTCGGGCCGAATAATTCAGTACCATGAAATAAATCATTGAAATTGCACACGATCTCTGGGCAAATTAAATCCACTCACACAAACACACACCTCTCTCGATTTGTATCCATCCGAAATGAAATGCTACATGGTTTTTGTGCTGATTGCACACCGATGTTGCGCGTATAACATTGAAAGTGTGTGTTGTGGAGTGAAAACTGCGAGGCGAGTGAATGAATTGAATAATTTCCCATTCTCGTTTCCATTCATTCATTTTCAACGAAAATTCAAATAACGTATAGAAATTGAAAATCGCTTCATTTTTATTTTGCTCTCGCATTTCGCATGGAAATTATAATATCGACGAAGGACAAGTGGGAACAACAATTCGCAATATAATTTCAGTGACGATTATGACGACGACGACAACAATGTTTTTGCTAAACACCATCGCATTGCGATCATCGTCTCTCATGTCGTTTTCTCGCATGGCGCGTATCCAATATTATGAATTCATGTTCCTTGTTTGCATCTCATCAAAACCATTTATTATAATAGATTGTCGCAATATTTGCGACCTGAAAACGTTCTCTCTCTCTCTCTCCCTCGGTTGGCATTCGGTTGACAAAAATGTACATTTCAACCGAAAATAGCATATCAGCGCAGAGAGAAAATCGATGCACTAAAGTACCTGAAATCAATTTTTACCCGTATGTGTGTATGTGTGTTTGCATGTATGTGAGTGAGCGCTGTCGCTCACTTGCTCGCGCGCGCAATATATAATATTATGTTCCCACTAAAAAGTGGATTTTGTCAAGTGCATTTCATGAAAATTGAACAGCAACTACGGAACATCATTGGTTTTTCTCAGCATCAGCTTCTCGTAAATGTTCCACACACGTGAATACATAAGATTAAAATACGTATCAACATTTTTATGAGCCAAAGGAAACGTAATGGAGACAATTTTGAGAACATTGAGCATAGCGAAGAAAAAAAAATGATGTGAAAACAGCGATATAGGTTTTTCGCAATATCATTTTATCGAAATAGTCCGTTTTCATGCAGTACATAAATTTCTTATCAAAACGAGCAAAACATACATAGCTCTTGTTTGCCAAGTCAAAAGTAAGTTTTTTTTATCTCTGCCGTCAAAAGTAAGTAAGAATTCCACTAGAAGTAAGCTACATTACCATTTTGTATCGCAATTCTAGAGTTCTATTTTGATCCATAAAATGACATGAAACATTTCGATTGGCTATTTTTGTCTACTGATAGCACAACCATTTGATCGTAGAAGCGAAACAAGAACAAAAAAATCACGATCCTATGGAATTAATTAGATATTGCGAACGGATATGCCGTCATTCAAGTCATCGTTGCGCAAATTGTTCGGAGGTCGTGCAGCGTACTACTTCATCATTCCGTAGCGAACAATTATTGTATGGCCATTTGACTTTGACGCAGTTCACAACACGAAAAAGCCATTGAAACGCGCGCGCGTTAGATAGTGCCAAAACGACAACCGAGACTCTAATGAATGAATCCTAATTGATTGCATAGACACAAAGTGATATAAAAGCAATTAATAATGAAATCAACACACACACAGAGACACACACACAAATTTCACTCACACCAGCAACAGCAGCAGCAGCAAAACCGAACTCAATTTTTCTGTTTATCAATTAGATTAGTAATGATTTGGCAATATATAAAAATAAAACAATCATTACGCGATTGAGAGTCGGTCGGTTTGGCCAAACAATTTGCCAAGGAGGGAAGCAAAACGAGGGAATGAGAGCTACACAGCGAGCGAGCGAGAGGGAGAGAGAGAGAGAGAGAGATTATATTTTGTGTAGGTGCCGATTCCAATCGGTATCGGCAATCACGAGGAAATGCTCGTACGTGGAGTGTATTTTAGCGCACAATTTGATGGTGCTCACAAAGTGCCGAACAGCGAAAATAAATAAAATGAAGATGTCAACATAAAAATAGCAATAACATTTTTCGTCTGTTTTTATCGGGTGTTGTTGTTGTTGTTGCTTTTTTTTCTCTGTTATCGTCGTCATTGTCTTCGTCGTCGTCGTCGTCGTTGTAACTGTGTAGCTGTTTGCCATCGCCGCGGTGGCGGTGGCATCAACATCAGAGAGAAGCACTTGTAAGCGCTCTTAACATGCGATGATGTGATCCAGCTGGAAATGGTGCGATGGTGAATTGGCGATATAATGAAATATATGGTGGAAAAAGAGGGGAAAATGTCGTGTACACAATTGTGAGATCGGAAGATATTCGGAAAATCCGTACGTTACGCTTGTGTGTATGTGTGTGTGTATGTTTCAGGGCATCGCCATCAGCAGTAACATAATCACTAAATTGTAACTGTGACGGGGTGGCACATTGACGCGAATTCATAACGCACAATTTGATGAGATAAGCCTCTGGCTGCTGACTCCATCTAATTTTCGTTGTTGCTTTTTTTTCGGCGGTTTGGTGTTCGTCGAAAACCTTCTATATGATTGATCTATGCTTATAAATTTTCACATTATTCATGTTGATCGATTATGACACAGAAAATCTGTGACGTGCGACTGAGCGGTCGAGCACCCAATAAACGGCAATCTTGTTTTAATCGCTCTCGTTCAATATGTGAGTGTGTGTGTTTGTGACACTGTAAGCCGTGTCAGTTCCGGCTATGGTTCTAATCAACTTGACGGTTGTGACCACC